CTCCTATTCTCCTATCGCATCCTCCTACCTTCCTCCCCCCCCCAATTGCACGGTCTCCCTCATGTGACCTCCTCTGCACAGTACACATTCACCCTGGCTGGGGCTGCAGCAGCAGCACCTGCCTCAGCTGATACTCCAAATCTAAGATGGTGTTTTTAATGTTGAATGGGGGGGGACACCTCATTTTGGATTTAGTATTTCCACAGTTCTGACCTCTGGCCAGGGAAAGGAATTGTTCCCAATATTAATTATTCCATTAAGTACCAGTAGCATACTTGACCTTGTCTGATTATTAGATTAAAACAAATTGAAACTGAGAAGTAATTAAATCCAGTGTTTGATCATGAGAAACACTGATCACTTCCTTTTGTTTTCAGGATGGAAACGAGACACAAAGCTAAGTAGTAATGAGCAATAATTAATTTGCTAGGATTTAGATTTATTTAAATGTAAAGCAACCAGTTTTTAATAGGCAAGGCTAAGCCACTGTTTAGCTACCATCACATTTTCTGTGAAAAGCATCTTTTGATACAAGGCAAAACTAAATGAATTCATGCTTGCATGCACTGTGTTGTTAATAGCATCATAATGTATTTCCATTAACCTTCCTCCTTATTCATTTAGCATTCTTTTGTTAACCAAAAAAGTTTGAAGGAAAATGTTTTTGGGGGGTCAGAATCTGTAGTCTGTAATGTACACAATGGGAATTACTGATATGTAATACATTTTGATTAAAATAGATAAATGCTTTCTTATAATACTTAAGGCGTGCTTTCAACCTTGCACATTGTGTAAGCATAAACTACTAAATTGCGTAACTTACTGACAACTGGATAAGAAAAGGTTAGATTTTTCTCTTTCCTTGACAAAAGAGCAGCTTTTGAGTTTAGAACAACAGGTCACTAGCTAATAAATCTAATAGTCTCAAATTTAGTGAAGCTTATCACATTTGGGAATGTGCATGTTTTCTTCTAAGATAATTTACTCCTGGTCATGTGGAGGGCTTTTAGGGGAGTTAGTTTTCACTTTATAATCAATCATCATTTTCAAGACAGGATGTTCTTAAAAGCCACAATCTGTTCCAGCTAATTCTGCCAGTCCAGATTTGTTTGTACTGGATGTCTGCTGTAGTCCAAACATGTAAAACAATGCAAGACATCCTGTAGTTCAAGAACTCTTGGAAATATGAATCCTGGTCACTCTGGCATGAAAGAGCAAAAGCGAAACCTATAGACCGACACTTGAAGAAATTTTTAAAACAGTCACATGGGGCTAGGTTGGTAAAGAAAGAACTAAACATTTTTACAGTTGTGGATTATTTTAGATTAGCGGTATTAACAATACAGCTTGAATAGAGCCCTGTCATCTGGCTCCCAGGGTGGCCCCTGGGTCTGGGTTGACCCACACATGCTGGCCTGCCCTGTTCTGGCTGTTCTGACATCTGCTCCGCACCCCGTGCCCCCTCACCTCTGGCCCCAAGCTAGTCTGGGACACATTGTGCATAGTGCCCACCCCAGCTGGTCTGGGACTGGCCCTTCACTGCTTATTTGGTGTCACAGGGCCAGATGAGTTTGATACTCCAGGCTTAAATTAAAATCAAATTACCAAATTTAGATTAAAATCAAATTTAGCAAATGTCTGTAGATTCAGAAAATAATACTTTTTCAATCACTATTAAAAATACTTAGGAACCAGTTTTTCTATTCTCATTACTGCTATTCATAACAGTATTTCTCTTTGGCACAAGCCTACTTTTTGCCACTATCATTAGTAAAAATATTAAAGTAGTAAAAGTACACAGTGGAGGCCAACCTTTCTGGCAAGCATGTCACAAAGTAAGTCCTGCATCCTTCCTAAATGCCACTTCAGTCCCCTTCCCCTACCCATCTTCTTGCTTTGTTTTCTGTTCCCTGCCCTGTGTTCTCTGGTTAATCTTTCTGCTCTTTGCCCTATCTGTTCCCTGTTTGCTCCCTGATTTGCTGTGCCACAATCACAGACGGCCTATGCCATGGCACATGTGCTGTGGGTTGGCTACCCTCATTCTAAACGTTCCAAATACAATTATTAAGCATGGCTGCCAAACAATAACTCCAGCATATAATGGAAATCAAAATCCTGCCAAGTGAACATGTGGCAGGATTCAATGTTCTGGAAAAGTTGATATATTTTTGTTTTGGTTTTAATGTTTTCCCAGCTGTTGTTAGCAAAGGGAAAATAATGGATTAGGAAAACATGAAAGTTCAGGGGTTACATAATGCATACATTGGCTGACACCAGGATTTATGGAATGACCATCTCTGGCTGCGACTACAAGCTGATATGCCCTCCATAGAGTAGATGCAAAAGGGAACTTGTTACTTTCCAGTCAATTTCACCTAGTTGCAACTTGACCCCACCTTGATAAATTTGCATTCAGTCCTTGTGTGCTT